TTGCCCCCCCCCCCTTTTTGCCCCCCTCAAATTATTTATTAGTCACTGAGAGCGACTAAAGGCTACACAAGCGATTTGTCAGTTTATTCATTAGTGAATACGCGTATACATGAAACTGTCTTTTACAGTTTCAATATTAGTTTGTAAATCTCTGAATGGTAAAACTTGCCAGTACTCCAATAGTGCGTTTCAAAAAAGACAAAAAAGCTTTAGTTTTGCCAAGTTAAATTCTCAAACGTGTAAAGGCCCACACAGAACGGACGCGATTCCGCAAAGCGACGCGAATTTTCAAATAACTTTTCAAAAACAAATAAAACCGTCAACGGATAAAAATTTTACAAGGTATGCAGACCAAATAGCTAAAATTGCTAAGTGGTCCCGAATATTTGAAAGACAATGAAAAATATTAAAGTTAAATGTCATTGAAAACTGAAAATTCGCGTCCGGTCTGTAAGGGCTATAAGGCACTAATAAGATGAAAGTATCACGAAATTATTTGAATAAACCACATCGCATATATGGGTGGAGAATATCCTAAAGGGGGGATATTCCTGGGGCAATTGCCTCTCTGGGGGGCGATATTCCTAGGATATTTGTCCCCCGCCGGGACGGTATTTCTAGTAATATCCCTCCCTTTTGTGAGGGGGGCGAATCTTCTGGGGGGGGGGGGTACAAATGTCCTTTGACAACGGCATGGGCAAATAGCAGTACCTTTTTAAAAATTCTATCTTACCTCCCCCCCCCAAAAGTATGAGTTTGCCACTCAAATGCCCCCCACCCAAATTCTGAGGCCTGGTGCTGCCACTGGTTGTCGCATGTACTTTCTTTGGAGACACAATTTCGAGACAAATCGGAAATTTGAAATGATCAAAATAGTGTTTCTGATTGATTGATTGATTGATTGATTGATTTAGATATTTTATTTACATATGAAATATATACGAATGTTGATTACGTTATTATACGAAAATACAATGAGCTCAATCACCGTGACTGCATGTGCACAATTAAATTTACATAAACATAGACAAAAAATAATGAAATTAAATGACTTCTGTTCATGCAGTTTCCAGACCATCGTATATTAATAGACTATGATTTGCCTAACCTTTAATCACTTAAAATTTTGAATACCCAACCCTTTTCTCTCTAATTCGGTGCCACCACCCTTATATATAATGAATTAAGGCAGTGTGTGAATGAACAATTACGGTGTTTCACCAGACCTAGCAAAGCCGAAGAAAATATTCTTTCTCCTACTATCCGTAATTCGTAAAGAATTCCGCCGTTTTCTAGGATTAACCGGTTACTATTGGCGCCGTTTTCAGGAGAATTATTGAAACAGCGAACGATTGAGTTCCAGACGACAAATTGTTTTCGTAGTTGGCAAAGCATGAATTGGATAATAGGAAGAAAAAAACGAAAATATATGAGTTACACTGATTAAAAACTAGTAAATAGTAATTATAGATTATTTTGGGAAAATAATGACAAAACAAGGAAATTAAGTTAACCGATTAACAGTATGCCCCTGGTATTCCTTCTCATGCTGCAATTGTTCAACCTCTATAACAAATTGAATAGTCGGAATCATGTCAGAAGCACGGCGGGCTTTTCAAAATAAAGTATGCTTTTGAGACGTACGTAGTCTTGGAGCCGTCTCAATTTGACGAATTCGAACCAGGGTACAGAGAAAGACGCATTTGCTATTCAATTTGGCACACAACATTCCAAGCCCGTAGCTGCATGAGAGGAAGAGCTTGGAGGGGGGGGGGGGCACTGCCCCCCATCCGTATATAAAATTTAAATCATGCCCCACTCCTAATTCTTCGTGATTTTAATAGTTCAGTCCGTTCCTACTCCTTGTTCTTCGTGATTTTAATAGTTCAGTTTTGCTGGCGCTACAATCAGACCTTGGTTTACTAAAACGTCGATGTCCCTTTTTGTATAAACTATCAATCAGATTATATTTAGCTGTGGTTCCCATGTTTGGTTTATAAGTTCATTTATAGCTAGAAAGTTGATTTTCTATGTTTACTTTAAAGTTTTAAGAAATAAAAGACAATTATAATGTTCTTCACGGTGTAGAAGAACGTATTTTTACCAATTTTTCCAGGGCTAGTTGAGACCAGTAACTAACACAAAAACATCACCTCTGCTAAATTTTTCAGCAGTGTCCCCCTAGCAATTGAAACCCGGCTACGGGCTTGCAACATTTCGTCAATTCTGTGTCTATTTATCAGGAGGTCAGTTTACAGTTATCACAATCGTCTGTCTTCGCTCCACTCTATAAACTGCGAACTGCTCGTTGGTTAATGGATTTACAAGAGTTTGATTTTGAACATAGACGAGCTGACGAGGTCGTTTTTGATCGCGTGCACAACAACGCCGACGCATTACTGACTTTGTTACAGTTACGTAACATCTTGTTAACATGTTTGTGATGTAGGTATTATTGTAAGTATACCACACCCATGTGCAAGCTGAAAAGTTTGCTTGACCTCAATGCGAATCGAACCCGCGACTTTGGTTTGCTAGTAGAATGCCTTGGTGTGGACACAGAGCAGAGACAACATCACGAACATATATCTTCACCTGAGTTGCACAACACCGGAAACAAGAATCTTGCAAATTTTGTGACCTTATAGTCTTTACATATGAAATTCCCGTATTATTGGGCCCGCAAAATTGGGGTCCTGAAAGTAATATTTTGTAGAGTAAATTAAATTAAAACTTAAAAGTATTGAGAATGCATACAGGATTAGGACAAGGATTAGGACTAATTTCTCACCTGTCACTAATTTTGTTTGAATGACATAGCAAATGCTATGTCATTCTCAAGTGACTCAAATGCTATGTCATTCTCTCGGAAGTCGGAAATGACTCGTCATTTAATAATTACCATTTGAGTGATGTAAAGTGATGGGATTATGTAACTGGACAGAATATAAATACTTGAGGGAATTATTCTGAACATTCATTGCAAGATTTGTAGAAGAAAATCAGCACATTTTCTGTCATAATGTCGAGCAAACATTTACAAACTGGCGATGCAAGACCTGCTTTTGACAACACGAAGAAATTCCGTATTTACAGCATGAAATTCTGTCCATTCGCTCAGGTGTGTAATAGATACAGTATATGGATAACAATCTCGATTATAGGAATATTCAGTTGAAATTAGCAAAATAATTGGGAAAAAAACTAAAACTATAGCCAAGCTCTGATTGGTTTTACAGTAAGAATATCTTCTTGCCATGGAGAATTATAAAATTGAAAATTGTTTATTGTCATGGAATTGTATGAACCTGGGACTGTATAGAATCTAATTCAACAAGGGAGGAAAGACAAGAAAATACAAACTACCTGTTGCAACTAAATTGTGTTTAAGGTTAAGCTACCCCGGTACGGATATATTGCCATTATATTTTGTTAACCAAATTTTGCTGCATGATGTCGGCATGTTTACCCATAATGTTCAGTGGCGTGCTGGGTACTATTTTTTGGGGTGGGGGGGGGGGGGCGGTCGGC